GTGTGTGTGTGTGTGTGTGTGTGTGTGTGTGTGTGTGTGTGTGTGTATGTGTGTGTGTGTGTGTGTGTGTGTGTGTGTGCCTGCCGAGGACCAATCCTTGAGATCGAGGGCATCGATCTTTTCCGCTGTCGCCGTGGCCACGTCGATGGTGATGATGGCCGAGTTCTCCTGGAGGTTCACGTAGAGCTTGCTCTCGTCGGCCGACCAGGCGACCCACCTGCCAGTGCATGGTGGGAAGGGTTGGGGCAAGCCTTGCGCCGCAAAAAGGCTCGTCTTCACAGGCGGGGTGGCACTCTGGCTCGAGCTGCGTGGCCGGCGTGTAGGCGGCACGCGAGGCGCCGAAGTCGAGCTTGCTCGCAAACTCGCCGGAGTTATCGTCGTAGTACACCTGCGCGTTGAGCTCGAGGGGAAGGTGGACGCCGGCGGCAATGAGGCCGGCGTCGGTTGCGGCGACAGGAGCGAAGTTGACGGTCGTCACGGTGCCCCCGGCGCCGGAGGGGGTGATCCCGCTGATGATGCTCACAGAGCCCTCCGGGTCGACCTAAAAGGGAGGCCGGCGGCACAGTCGGAGGGGTGGGAGGGTGAAGAGCCAGTTCCCGCTGCGCACCAGGCTGCTGTCGTAGACGCCCTCGCCCTCGTTGGCCGTCGCGATCATGGTGCAGTCCGAGTTCCAGGCGATGTGGTCAGGCAGAGGCCCGACCGTAAAGGTATTCTTCAGGATGGGTGGCACGGCCAGAGTGGCCGCCTTGAAGAGCATGACAGAGCCTGCAACGCACGTCGGGCGGCGTCTCGGAAGTGGCCAGGAGGCCTAGGGAAGGGGGAGAGACACAAACGGGGACCGGGGTCCGTCTTGACGGCCGCGGGCATAGCGACGGCCAGAATCCCGCCGCAAATCGAGGCGTCGGTTAGTGACCGGCCGAAGCCCAGTGCGTGGTCCTTGAGGAGGTGCGGCGCGCTCGGGTTTGCGTAGCTGACGGCATTGAGGAAGCCCTGCATGCGGCGGTGGCGGGGGTGGGGTGGGTGGCGGTGGGCGTGAATAGCTGGAGGGCAGGATGTGGGGCGCTGCCTGCTCTGATGCCGTGTAGGCAATCTTTTGCACGGGGTCGTAGGCCGCCTTTTCGCCCGCGCCCATGCCGAACGCAAACGATTCGCCGTCGCCGTACGGAGCGTAGAAGCGCGAGACGAGGCTGAGCCCGGTCGGGTGTGCGTGTCCGTGCACGACGGCAGCGAGCGAGAGCGCCATCACACTGCGCATATCGCCGACGGAGGAATCCTGAAGAGGGATGAATTTGCGTGACACAGGCGCGTGCACGACAGCGTGCTGATCATTAAGGTCAGGCGCTGTAACCCCCCCCCTGAAGTACGCGTTCGCCTACTCGCTGGTCTCCTTTAAGCCTACGGGACCGGCCCCAGCTTCGGCTGAGTGAGGGCTGACAAGCGCGCGCCGAGCCCAATTTTCATTGACTGTGTGAGACTGTGAGTGTCGTGATGGGGTCCCGTACCACGCGGAATCGGCCCTATCCAGTGCTCAAGTGCTCAAGTGTCGTGATTTCTTGTTGGGTTTCAAAGATCTCTCTCTCCCAAAGTAAGTGCCTTCCTCCTAGTGGCCGCCAAAGGCGAGGAGGCAAGCGCCTGCTGAAGTGCGTGCGCCGCCTGCACCGTCGGCGCGTCCGAAGAGCTCCTCGAGCTCTGTCACTGCAGCGAGCTGTGTCGAGCTGGGCAGCCGGCTCACGCGCGCGGAGCGCGAAAATTTGGTGGTGGTCCCCCACACTTGAGCACTTGAGCACTGGATAGGGCCGATTCCGCGTGGTACGGGACCCCTCGATCGTCTCGCCCTCCCTCGCTGGTGTGCTCATTGGGGGGGGTCATAACAAACACGGTGCAGGATTGAGGTGCACGCTGCCGAAGCAGTGTCGTCCCCTCTCTCCCCGACGGCGATGGCGGTGTGACTGATCGAGCTACAAGAGGGACTTGTTCAGCAGGATCCGGGTTGGACTGGCGCACTACCTCACTGGGCCTGAGACCGCCGTGCGCTTCCCGTCACCGTCTCGGGTTTGTGTGGGATCGAACCACTCCGGGATGGGCAAGCCCACGCGCGCCGCCTCGCCGATCAAACGCACCGCTCTCCATCCACCGCAGTGACTTCTTCGGCGGCAAGGTTGGCGCTTTCAGCATCCTCGAGGACTACTACGACAGCTACACGAGCTACTTCGACTACTACGGCTCATACGGAACCTACGGCTCCTACGCCGAACCGCCTGAGTCTGGCTTGACTGCTTTCTCCACCTCGGGCGGTGCGCACGCCTTCCCCCCTCCAACGGCACTTGAAGTGGTTGCCGTCGTGACGCTTCTAACCGATAGCCCTTTGCTACATTAGGGGACATGACGGCCGACGTCTTTGGCTCAATCGTGCAGTCAATGGAGGCGCCACTCGCGCAGGTGATGGATATCTTCCGCGCCGCAGACGCGATGCAGCCGCAACGGTCAGCCGCGCGCGACTTCGCCTTTGCGGAGGAGGACGAGGACGAGGACGAGGACGTTACATCACACCCCTGTGGCGTGGAGACGGTGGAGCTGTGCCCGCGCGCCGTCGGCTCCGACGGGTGGGCTATCGACGAGATGCCCGAGATGCAGTCGCCACACACTCCCTGGTACTGGCCGGCCGTCTCCACCCTTCACTACTCCTACTCACTTACTCGAGTTGATCCCCGCAGCGTTGACCCCCCCCCCCCCCCCTCCTCTCGCCCCGCAGGCTGATCCAGTGCCTAAAGGCAAACCTCGAGCGGCTCTCGCCGCGGTGCAAATGCGCGCTGCACCAGCTCCTCGGCTCCGAAGTCGAGCAGACCTCCAGTCGGCTCCAGGCGCGGCTCTCCAGATGTGCAAGACGGCCACCTCCACTCCCAAGCCGCCTGCGACACATTCCGGACACCTTCGACGAGCACATGCCTCTCCCCGGCTCAGGCACCAGAGCTCAACTACGTCATCGACCTCGTCGACACGATCGACATTGAGGAGGTCGGTGGCCACCAGCACGCGCCATGCATGCTGCTGATGCCCGTCCTCGCCCTCTCCCTTTGCCTCATCTTGCTCAAGTGCGTTTCATCGTGCGCGCTCCTCGGCGAGAAAGTGGTCGTCATGGTCCCCGGCGAGGCCGCCGAGCCGCGCTCCGTCGGTGCCCCCCTTGAGCCTCTCCGAGTGAGCGACATTCGCTCGCAGTACATTGATGCTTTGCCCGGCTTCGTGCCCATCGCCCCCGTTGCCGAGACGGCCGTGCCGCCCTCTGAGGCTGGCGACAAGAAAACGCCCTTCCTAAAGCAATAGACAGCGGGGGTCTGGCTTTGGGGCTTGGGCGGTTGCGAGCTACGAGTTTGAGGCGTTCGCGGGCGCATCGCCAACCGTGGGCTGGGGGGGGGAGGGGGGGCGGGGGGGCGATGTTGCCGGAGGATGGCTTCTGTGAGTTTCGCCGAGGGCTTCTTGTCCGCGCGTCGTCTGGCGCACGGCGGCGGCCGCCCGGGGGGCCCGGGGGCAGGAGGGGGGGGGGGGGGTGAGGGTCTCCTGCACGAACCGGTCCACGCCGTTCCCGCGATCGCAGATTGGCCTGAGTCCCAGTCCCTGTGACCCCCATGGTTTCGAGGGACGAGGCGCTTGTAGTGGCCTGTTATCCTCGCGCCCACCCCCTTGCGCCGGACGAGTAGTGTGTGTATATGTGTGTATATGACCGGGGGGCGGGGGGGGGGCCGCACCCCGGCGCCCGGGAGAGCCTGGACCTGGAGGCGCCGCGCATGGCGCCGCCATGGCCATGGCAGGGACCTGCTCAATTTTACCCATCTCCTAGCCGTAGAGGTGTCCGTTTTCTTTACTGCCACGTCTCTCGACTCTCGGCCGATCGCAGCGAACTCTCTACTCTTTGAGTCTCTAACGTCTGTGACGGTGTGAGAGCCTCCGCCAACACCTCTAGAGATGCGCGGCAATTGTACTGCTCACCGGTACAGCCGTAGGAGCTAGGACCGGGCACGGAGAGCGAGCGGGCCAATGCATCCGCACCTCGCCCGCCTCAATCAAGCGCCCAGACGCGTCGGCTAGGAGCCGTCTCGCCTCTAATAGCCCCCGAAGCCTCCGTAGCCGCCGCCGCCGCCGCCGCCGCCGCCGCCACTTCCATCCTCTTTCGTCTGGGGGGGGGGGGGGGGGTGTCCCTTGTGGTGACGGAGGATGAGGGGGGCGCGGGTGCTGTGTGTGCGTGTGTGCTGGCGTGGCGGCACCTTCTCGATTTTCATCTCTCTCCCATCCATCCACGCCCCGTGGACAGCCTGGAGGGCGGCGTCAGCAGCCTCGACGGTGGCAAAGGAGACAAAGCCAAAGCCCTTGGACCAGCCCGTCTCCTTGTCGACGGTGATCTCCGCGCGCGTCACGGTGCCGTACTTTGAAAACTCCCGCCGCAGGTCCTCGGCGTTGAAAGCGTCATACTCGCCGCGCCGCATCTTTCGGACAACAAAGAGGTTGGCGCCCGGCGGCCCCTTAGTCTGCGGAACACCTACCGCCGTCGCATTGCCGCCGCCGCCGCCGCCCGGCCGGAACCCCTGCCACGCCCGGGGGGGGGGGGGGTAGCGATGGGGCGTGGGTGAGGATGAGAGAGCCGCGACTCGCCTCTGGCTTGGTGTACGTCGACTCGCCGGTGACCGAGTTCCAGTAGTAGGTGGCGCCATTCTCCGGGTGGACCTGCTCGGTCCACGCGGCGGCGTGCGGCCCGCCCGCCGGCCCGGAAGCCACGCCCTCGTTTGGGGCCGCACCGCCAGCGGGCGCCGACTGGATCGGCGGCGGCGCGTGCTGCTGCGGCGGCGGCGCCGCCGAGAGCTGCGCGTGTTGCTGCTGGAGTTGGGCGAGGGACGAGCTCAGCGTCGGTATTTGCGCCTTGAGCCACTCGATCTCACCTCGCAGGGCCTCGGTCTCGGTGGCCATATATGTGTCTGCGGCAGGGGAGGAGCGCGGGCGGTGGAGCGGCTGGGCAGCGCGGCGAGAGCGGCGGCGGGTGCGGAGAGGCGTGGCGCAGACCGGAGGCGGGCGGTGACCGGGAGGGGCGAGGACGGTGGCGGTGCGCACCCTACGACAAGATCAAAGAGTGCCCTCGAGCTGTCCCTCAGCGGGCTGCTGCTGAGAAAAAAGGGAAAAAAAAGCCGCGCCCCAAAGCTCAGTTTGGCCCTGCTCGCGCAGCAGGATCCGCAGCAGCAGGCCGGAGTAAGAGCCCCAATTAGGGGGGTTTGCCCGGTCATGAAGCTCGCGGTCTTGGCGGTGCTCACCGCCCACCGCTCGCCAGCTGGCAGCGTCCGCTCTATCGGCCGTGCGTCGCCGGCGGCGGGGCGTCTTCGCACCTTTCCGCCACGCGCATGCAGCGGATCTCAATCATACTACAGCCCGAAGCGGGTGCAGGGCGAGGTCGTATGGAACGTGCCGCCCCCACCGCCGCCGCCCGTGCAGAACGCCCTCTCCGAGGACGCCGTCCAGCGCATCCTCGAGCTCGTGTGGCGCGACTCGCGCATGGTGCTGCGCACAGCTCTGATGCGGCCACTTCCAGTGGTGATGGAGTTAGCGCAGGACCGGCTGCCTCTCGCTCGCTGGTACGCGACGTACAAGGCAGACCAGGCCGCCCTTTGGCTCAACGAGCAGCTCGCTGTCTCGCGGCCCTTTGCAGCAATGGCGCCCGCTGCCGCAGCCGCCGCGCCGAGGGAAGTGGTCAGGCTGGAGCGGCGGCTGGAGGTGTCACGCTCCACACTTTGGCCAACGCTGCGCGCGCTGCTGCTACGGCCGTCCACGCACCAGCGCATGGTGCGAGCTGCCCGGGAGCAGGTCGCCCAGTTCAAGGCGGCCGAGTCATCGCTCTCGCGTCTGCTCCGAACGCCACGCCGCGTCATGCTGCTGACCGCAGGCCTGCTCCGCTCACTCTCCTACACCCTCAAGTGGGTCGTCATCGAGCTCGTGCGGCGAGCGCCGCCCGGCAGCGGCACCGTTGGCGCGCGAGTGGCAAGTTGGCGCAACCGCCTGATCGAGCGCGGCATCCGGTACGGCCTCGAGCTCCAGCGTCGCGTGGAGCAGATCGAGGACGCACGAAGGTGGAGGCCGCCGCCGCGGTCGCTTGCGGTCCCTGCGCCCGCCGCGCCGCCCCTCTCGGCGACCGGCATTGCATCTGCCGCGGCACTCGAGGGGACCGTGTTGCTCCCGCCAGCGGCGGGCGGCTCGCGGCCCAGCGGCCAGGGTGCGCGCACGAGACGACGGTTCTTCGGCTGGTAGCGGGGGCGAACGGGAGATGCGCGAGGACGTGGAAAAGGTTGGTCCTCTTATCGTTGTTTCCCCTCCCTCTGCTCTCTCTCTCTCTCTCTCTCTCTCTCTCTCTCTCTCTCTCTCTCTGCCGTCTGATGTGAGAGAGTCCTACATCGATCTACACCTCTCTCTGAGAGCTCTGCGACTGTGTACCATTTTTTTCTTGTCCTTAGGATTATAGGAAACGGGGACCTGTTCCTTTTTACCCATCACAGAAGAGAGGTGTCCGTTTTTATTCATTCAGGAAACGGACGCCCTGGGTGTGCGCTGTGGCGGGTGTGGCCTCTGTTGGCAACACGCCTCAATGGTTGGGTAGTAGGGCTAGAGGGTCGCTCTACACTTAGCCTCTGCAGCGAGCGAGCGCTCAACTTAGCCCCCGCACGGAGCCGGGCTCAGACTTAGACCCTCATGGTCGGGGGCCATGAACTTAGACGACATAAGGCCAACTCCGGGTAAAACCCGGGTATACCTGGTTGAATCAGCTTTCAGGTTTACCCGAAAAATACCTGGACGCGTCCCGACCAACGTTTGCCGCGCACGACGCCATATCGCCTTCTCCCAGGGCCAGTGCGCTACTTGCGGCGCGCAACGCCTGCTCAAGTACGCGCAACGACCAACGTACCATATGCTGCCGCTATGCGTGCCTTAAGGCGGCTGCGGCGAAGCGGCGGGCGCGGCATGCCGATGGCAGTGCGGACGATGCGGTTGCGATGTGTTCTGCTTCAAGATCGTGGCGGTGCTTGGCATGCACTTCTGCGATCCCAATCAGCTCATCGCAACGAAGCAGCGCAACAAGCTGGCTGCTGCCAACAAGGCCCTATGCTACCTCACGCGCGGATCGTTCAATACAAAGAGGACCAGCATACACAGAGGCTTCTCTGACACGCGTCTGTTTGAGCTTGAGGCTATTTGTGAGAACTGTTTGGCTAGAAGTCGCCGAACATTGCGCTCAGGAGGCAGCAACGAGAACCGGAAGAGGAGGATGCTGAGGCGGCGATTGCTGAGCATGAGGAGGATCGATCGCCCGCCGCAGGCGAAGAAAATTTGGGGGCTGTGCCGATGTTGATCACGGGGCGTTGATCACGGTGGGAGCCTTGGCCCCAGGCCGTGCCACGGCCGACTTAGCCGATGTAAGAGGCTCCCGCTGATCTTAGACCGCGCAAGCACTCCAGCGTGGCTAGCCACACTTAGACCCATTAGGCCTCCAGGCTCAGAACTTAGACTACTACCCAACCAGTCACCTCAGTCACGCCTCTTCTAGAGGGGGCCGCTCCGTTGCTCTACGGAGTTAGCAGTTTCAGCTTCACCTCGCACACACATATTTTCATATAGATATAGGAAGAAATGAGTCATTTGATCCAAATGTGGTAAAAATAAAAACAAAACAGCGGTCCAACACAGGTCGATCACGTACACGTACACCCCCTTAGGTTAGGTGGCAGCAGAGGGAGCAGCGGCGGCGGCAGTGCCGGTGTCCGCGGCTGACGGCGCCTTGAGCGGCGCCGCCACCGTGCTGTCCGCGTCGCCAGTGCCGGCGGGGGCAGTGCCGGCGGTGAGCGCGGGGTCGCGGGTGGGCGCACTGGCTTGGAGTCGACATATCAGCTTGCAGATTCTCAGCACGCACGGCATGCCGCGTGCACTGCCAGAGCCCGTCTCTGCGCCAACCGGCAACGCCCGGAGCTGGGGCGTCTCGTCGGCTCGCACGGCCGGCTGCTGGACGAGCGGCGCGTCTTGCCGCAAATCAACGGCAAGCCCACCCTGCTGGACGCCGGAGATGGACGGGGCGGCGACCGGCACAGTCATTGGGCGAGCCGCCACAGCGCCGGCCTGATGGCCGAACGGCGCAATCGCGTGTCCCATGCTCGGCCCATGCTCAGAGTGTTGCTGGCGTGCCGCCGCCGCCCCGCCTCGCGGCTTCTGCGCCACTGAACGCCCCTCGTCCACCACCGCCTCGGGCTCCCAGTTGAAGCTGCCATCTGCGAGGCAGTCGTAAAGCGGGTCGACTGCCTTGCGCTTCAGCAACCGCAGCACCGAGGCGATCGCGTCGACAGTCGAGGGATGCACCCCCTTCTGCAGGGCGAGGGACTCCTGCCTTGCTCGGCGGTGCACCTACACAGGCCGCGGGGCGCACACACGTCAACGCGTGTCAGGGAGGTGTGTCGGACGCTGCCGGGTGGCGGGGGCACCCGGCTCGCGTTGCGCAGCTTCAGGATCCAGTCCGCTTGCTGGTGGCTCTCACGGCGGGCGAGCGACCACAGCGTGTAGTCGACCGTCACGTGAGTCCCCGGTGTGAGGCTTCGCTTGGCCACCACTGCGAGACGCGGTAGGCCGGAGACCAGCCTGCGGGCAACATGCCGCGGGTGGGCGTGGCGTCGAGTGCCATCGAGGACCCGCTGGAGAGGGGCTGGGAGTGCGGCAGCGGCGCGCGCCACGGTTGCAGCTCGCAGCTCGGATCCATCGAGTGCTCAGCCAGCCTGGCCGCAGAAGCGATGCGCGAGACGTCGAGGGAGAGAGGGGATGCACCGAAGCTGAGCAGGCAGATGTGCGATGGCCAGATAGCTCCGCAAGTGGCCAAGCCCTCGGCGAGGTCTCGCCCATTCTCGACCACCTGTTCCCAGTCGGGAGGCGTCGACTTATCGAGCCCCGTTATCCCGCCGGCCAAGTCTCGGCTGCGTCTCAACCACACCTCCCCACGATGCTCCAGCACGAGCTGGCCGGGGCGGACGCTCGAGATGACGATGACCCGCCGCCCGTTCTCGCAGAGGGAGAGCCGCGCCCACCGATCCGCCGCCAAGTCGGAGCGGAGCGGCTCGGGCGCCTCGGCGAGTCCCTCGACGAGCAGCCGCTTGTTCTGGACGCCCGAGTAGTCGTTAGCATGGACGTGCCCAAAGTGTTGCGCCGGCGGCAGGATGGGGTACGAGGAAGGCGAGAAGGGGAGGGCGACGCCAGCCGACGCGATGGGCAGCTGCAACCGCTGCGCGTTGCTGCGCACCGTCTCCTTCATCATGTCCTGCAAGCTTGACATGTGCTCGTTGATGGCGGCGATCCCGTTCGGCAGCTCCATGCTCACCTCCTGCAGGATGGAGATCATTGAGCGCCCACCGTGCACCTGCAACGCCGTATAGAGCCGGCGGACCGCCTCCGGAAGGCGCGGCAGTGAGGGCAGGGACGTCGCCGTCGATCGGCGGAGACGGCGGACAGCCTGCTCGAGGGGGTGGGGGAGAGCTCAGCACTGGTGCAAGCGCACCACAAACTCCGACCTGGCATCTGGGGGAGGCGGAGCGTGGCCTGCTTGATGAGGGCGTGCATCGGCTGGCGGAGGGGCGCGGCAGGCGCGCTGCCGTGGAACAGGTGGTGCAGCCGCTTCTTGGAGACGGCCGTGGCGATGATGTCTATCGCCATGGCCGAGAGGAGGTCGGAGAGCGAGTAGGGCGTCACCTGCCGGCGAATCCATGACAATGGCGTGCTATCGCTCAACGGTCCGCGGCGACGGGCGGGGGGCGACGGGCGACGGGCGGGGCTGGGGGGGGGGGGGGTCCACCGCAGCCAAATGGGCCACCCCAAGGTCGAAGACGAGATTCACCATCGCCTACTCGTGGGGGTAGGAATCGCTTCGGCGCGCCACGTCCGAAGAGTCGAAGGCGAGCCTCCTCCTCTCACCACGAGGGAGGGCAGGAAGCCACGATTGCAGAGCCTCTCGAGGAATGCGTCCGATTCGACGAGGGAGCCGAAGATGCGAAGCAGCGGCGAGCAGCCCGTGTAGCACGCCAGCAGCGATGCAGTCACGCCGAGCTCGAAGCCAGCCTTGAGCGCGAGTGCGAGCGTGAGGGTGAGGGCAGCGTTTTATCCGCTCGAGGCTAGCAGGCGTACCTTGATGGTCGCGAGGAAGCTGTCGAGGCGCACGGAGCGGCCGACGTCGGCGATCGCGCGACTGAGAGCCTCCTGGTCGCTCGCCGCCACGGCAGAGGTGGTGAGCACTCCATCCCAGAAGCGGTGCAGCACCGTGCAGCCCCGCTCCGCCCCGAAGCGCGAGACAAGGCCGATGGAGGCGTGAAGCACCTCAGTGAATGCGGGCAGCACGCGCAGCTTCGAGCAGAACTCGCGCGCGGCGGGCAAATCGGCCGAGTTGCACGGTGAGACGAGCGAGACGAGGAGGTTTATGGAGGCTTTCGCGCAAAAGTCCACCCGCACCCAGAAGGAGGCGAGCGCGAGCAGATTCTCCATAAGGGTGCCTAGAGGCAGACCTCGAAGCTAGAAGGAGCCAGGGGCGCGAGGAAGGGAAGGCTTTTCATCTCCGCGCCGCTCATCCGGAGAATAGGGAGGACAAGCGTAGACCTTGGGGTCGAGCGTGCTGAAGTGATGGCAAACAGCGTCGACAGGAGCTCCTTGAGGGCCTGGGCATGAGGCGAGTCGTGCACGTTCTGCGTCGGGCAAGTGCCGCTGATCGAGAGGAGCGCGTCGGTCAGATCGAGAGTGCCCGTGAGCGGCCCTCCCTCGCCTGGCCCAGATTCCTCGCCAAGATGGACAGTAACTTTGGGCCAAGCGTTCCCGTCCGGGCTGGTGTCGGTGCTGATCGACAGCCTCTTCTCAAGCGCCGCGGCCGGGAGCTGTGACAGGCGGATCACCAACGCGCTCGCGGAGCTCGCGTCGAGCGTTCCTCCGGTGCGGAGCATGGGCGCGGACGGCGTCGCCATGAATTGTCCGCGGGAAACACGTGGGCGCCCCGCCAGCGTGCACTGCCTTCACCGACCTGTTCTTCGACCTGGGTTCCAACTTTTCCGGGGTGTGGTATGGTCCAGCCCGCCCAAAGGGGTGGGGGTATGGTCCTGACCGCCCAAGACTAGCCCTGCCATACCCCAAGCAGGTCTGCCAGAGGTGGGGGGGGGATGGTCTTGAGCTGCGTTGGCCGATGCGCAAGAATTTTATAACGAACCTCCCTCGCACGACACTGGGCACGGGACTGGCGCGCACTGGCACTAACACAGGTACACCACGGGAGCCGCCTAAGCGAGCCGACTCCTGCGAGGACGCTGGACGGGGAGGCACTTATAGCCCAAGAAATACGAGGCCTGCCTGGACGTCACGAGCCCATTCTCACTAGCCCTGCCTGACCCGCAGCGAGGCCGCTCGCGTAGGAGCCCCTCAGATGAGTGGTCAGATGAATAGATAGTGCCCGAGAGCGAGGGTTCCGGGGGGGAGCACAAATCAGGTAGGACGCCCAGCCCTAGGCAGGCCCAGCCAGCCTTGCCCTCGCTCGTGCGTCGTGCCGCCGAGTGCGTATCCTCAGCGTATCCTAATGCGAGAGAGATCCCCTGTGCCCTGTGCCCAGCCCTCTCCGCGCCGCGATGCGCCCCTTCCCCTCGCTTTTGCAAAATCCTGCAAAAGGTGGGGACGTGTCTGTCCTCGACCCACAGCCCTACAGTAGGCCTGCTTGGGATGTCTGTTTTATTTATTTATTCACGTCCTGCGAGAGGGCAGAGGGGCGGGGTGCGCGCTGTACCTCGGGGTTCGTGCGTCGCCCATCTCTCCGGGAGATGTCTGCTCGAGATTTATTTATTTATTTAGGAGGTCGCGCGGATGGATCGGGGCGGGCGGGGAGGGGTCTCGCTCGGTTTCGTGATGAGGCTAGTACTTGCCTTTCGGGGAGGGGCCTCGCTCGGGAAAGGCGAGGCTAGCTCAACCCAACGTACGTCTTTCTTCCCTTCCTCCCTCGCGAGGCAGCGAGTAGTAGGCAGCGAGCGAGTGACGAGTGTAGGTGTAGTGAAGGAAGGTGGAGGATTGTTCAGAACCGCGGCGGCGAGCCGCCCCACGGGCCGCTCACAGGAGAGAGAGCTGGGGGCGTGAGTGAGTATTCTTGATACGAAACCACGACGACACACACACAACAACACCGCCTCGCGCGCAAAGTCGCGCGCGGCAGCGTCGACCGCACGGCCTACTCGCCCAAGTACTCGCTCTCTTTTATGTCCCACCATGCAGAGCGCATCTCTCTCTCTGTTGTGCGAGGCGTGAACCGCGCCATTCGCTCTCACCTGGCAACCCTGTCTGCACGTCTCGCGCGCGCGTGAACAGGGCTCCAGGCCCCAAATGACGTGTGAGTGTTAGATTTGTTTGGTATTGCTAAAAATCTCTCTCTCACACACAGCTGGGCCTGGGGGAGTCGCGGCACTACCGCGCTCTACACTCTACATGCTTCCCCTTTCTCCCGGCCGGGGTGGGGCACGCGGGGGGGGCGGCGGGTGTGTGGGATGTCTGTGGGCCCGAGAGCGATATGCCATGTCCGCCTTGCGTTGTTTCAAAACATCGAGTCTAACAGAAAAGAAAACACCTCCCATCGTTCAAGCTGGTGCTGGCTGCTGGCTGCTGGTGCTGGTGCTGGTGCTGACACCCAAACACCCCCGGCTCATGTCGACCAAGACGAAGGGCCGCCGCCTGAGCGGCTGGAAGGCGGAGGACGCGCAGAATCTCATCGAGGAGAACGACGACGAGTCGGAGCGCGTCGCCGCCGCCAGGCAAAAAAGCGAGGAGGCGGAGCGCCTCGCGCAAAAGGCGCGGTCGCCGTTCAAGGAGACGCCCAACCGAAAGGCGCGGACGGCTGTGCTCACCGACATGTACTCGGACGCGATACAGATGTGCGCCGAGAACGTGCGTCGCCGCCCCCCGACCTTGTCCCCCGAACGCGCGGCTCACTCGTGGCGTCACGCAACACCAGAAAATCAACGAGAAGAACACCTGGGCGCTCGACCTGATTGACCACATGGGACGGATGATCGAGCAGCCTTCGGCGGCCGGAAACGAGGCCGCGATGACCAACTTCCAGTTCGCCTCCTCCACCCTCGACGCGGGCGTGAAGATTTACGCGTACCGCGTCGACTCGGTGACACCCCCCAGAGACCGCAGTGCAGCCGCTCTCGCTGCGCGGTCGCCCGCCTGCATCCTCGCCTTGCCCATCTCTAGACTCGCCACTCGCCTAGCACGCCATCGCGCAGGCCGGGCCCACACACGGCGGCGCCACAGACTGCGGACACCCTCTCCCGGCACCTCACGCGGTCGCAGGTCTACAACGAGACCTACAAGCTCATCGGCGGGCTGAATCGCGCAAAGGGCGGTGAGGTGGCGGACGGGGCGCTCGACACCGACTCCGTGGCGGACGCCGGCGCGCCGGAGGGTCCCGGCACCAAGGAGGCACGGAAGCCGCGCCGCGCCAAGCCCCCGAGCAGCAACCTCGAGGCCAGCACTAGCTGACGTAGACACTTCTTGCACTCGGAAGGCACTTCCGAGGCCCTCCAGCCCTCCACGGTACCCTCGCAATGCGCCCCATGCACTGCCCTGCGCCCGGGGCCTGAAGCCTCGTCCTCAACTGGCCAGGCGAACCCGGCGTCGCTCGATCTCAAGAAGCTGGAGATGTCCTTCGAGGTTGACCCGCTCTTCCACCGCACGTCGGCCAAGTTCGACGAGGGCGGCGCAAAGGGGCTCCTTCTCATCAACCTCGCTGTGCGGCCCGGCTGCGCGCTCTCGTTCGACTCGTCCGGGACATGCGCCGCCGCGCCAGCGGTCGGGGCGCCGCCGCCCGTGCGGGTGCCATTGGCGCCGCTCGCCGCATTGGTGCCCAAGCAGCTCTCTGAGAAGCACGTGTGTGCCGAGCTCTGCGGCATGGTCGGATCGCTCCGCACCGGCGTCACTTGCACCGACGACGCGGAGCCCGAGCTTGCCACCGCTGCGAGCGACGAGGACGATTCGGACGGCGACGCGGCGGCCGGAGGCGGGTACGACGATGACAACGACGCGCTTGGTACCGCGGACTTGGGCGCCGATGCCTTCGACGCGAGCGCCGACCTCGGCGGAGAGCCAGAGCCCCTCGATGCCGCCGAGGCGGCGCGCGAGGCGGCGCTCCTGCGCCAGTTGTCGACCGATGGGGAGGGGGAGACCGCCGTCGCCGCCGCCTTCATGTCGCTGGACGAGCTGGCGTGGCCCTCGTGGCACTCGCCAAGGGGCGATGGGTGGCTGGGCTCAGAGCAGCGGCGGTTCGCCGTAGGTTGCCGAGTCGCACCCGACAGAGCGCGGCACCGAGGCGGTGAGTTTGAGCCCCCCCCGCCCGCGTCTCGCGCCCCCTCCCGCTCCTCGCAACCCTTTCCCCGCCGTCCAACCACGGTTCCGCGGCGACTACCCCCATGCTCACAGGAGGAGGGCACCGGTGTCGCCGACACCGAGGCGGCGGCGCGCGAACGCGTCCAGCGGCTGCTGCAGGTTGGCCAAAGGTGGGCAGGCCCGGCGCACTGGAAGTTCGGGAAGCCGGCCGGCTCGGGCGGCGGCGGCGGCGGCGGCGGCGGCGGCACGGCGGCAGCTGCGCCCCCAAAGCGTGGGAAAGGGAAGGCACCTTTTGCCATCGACTTTGGCCGCTCGACGGAGGTGCTCGCCTCGCTGCGCGCGATGGAGACGCAGGCGCAGCCCACGCGCTTGCGCCCCCACCGCCCCCACTGCCCTTCCCACGACTCCCCGCCACCCTCCGACGAATGCAGGCAAAGGGAACGACGCTTACCGAGGCCGCACTCGCCAAGGATGGCGGATCGTGCTCCACTCTCCCCCCTGACCTCAACTGCACGCCCGAGGTGCGTGCGCGCCTCCTCCGCGCGGCCCAGACGACGCCCCTTTGGCGGCACCTCCGCGCCTTGAACGTGTCGTCGTGACACGCGGTGGCGGCGTCCACTTGCATGGCCCGTCACATTGACGCACCCGATGATGCGCATCACAGGTGCTCTCCTGCCTCTTTCACAAGCCAGAGACGCGCCTCAGCCGCCGGCGCCGCCGGCTCCAGCCGAGCGCATCCGTCGCTGAGGCTGCCGAGGGCGGAGATGCGGGCGGCGCGGCGGACTACGAGAGCGACGGAGACGATTGGGCGCCAGCCGATGGCGGCGAGATGGAGGACGAGACGTCCGTCGATGAGGGGGCGCACGCCGACGCCCTCGTTTCCGGCGCGCCCGTGGCGGCGCCACTGCAGCTCGTCGCGGAGCCGCAAAAGGTGCAGACACCCCGGCGGTGTTGGTCGTGGTCTCCGTACTGAGGCTGCCGCCCTGTCTTGTCAGGTGGCGCAGATCAAGATCGGCTACGCAAAGGTGGCCAAACAGGTCGACATCAAGGGTCTCAAGACAGGGGTGTGGGAGCTGTTGCAGGATGTGGACAGCGAGGCGCGCAAGGCGGGCGCGGTGCAGGTGTCCTTCCAGGAGGTGCTCCAGCAGTTGCCGTCCAAGGTCGAGGCATCGCAGCTGCCGGACGTCTCGTTCGCCTACTGCTTCATCTCGCTGCTGCACTTGGCAAACGAGCGCGGCCTCGAGATCGCCGACGACAAGGATCGGCTCTCGGACCTTCGTGTGACCATGCCGCGGTGAGGGAGTGGAGGGCCGGTGCATTGGCGGACGCCGCTCCGTGGGGTGTGTGCTGCCCCGAGCTCGGGGCACGTCCCGGTTGACTGTTGAATGCGACTCTACGACTACGTAGCAGCCCACTTGAATGGCACTGCTGTCATGCATGTGTGTACATCAGTGAGTCCCCGGCATATCCGATCGGGCCTAACTGTTTAACCCTGATTTTTACGCTCTGCAATCAATTATGGTCAAAATCTCAAAGTCAAACCTCGCCGGACGCCGCGCGGGCGCGCCGCCGCCGGCCCTCTGCGCTCGAGCCATCGCACGGCATTGCGCCTGGCCAGCCTCGCCTCTCTCGGAGGAGACTGAAGTCTGGACACGGGAGAGAGTGAGAGAGAGAGAGCACTGGTGGTGGTACGTCCCCAGGGCCCCCGTCATTGCGCATAAGGCGATGTGGGCTGTTGGGCGCCAACCCGCGAGCGGCGCCACTGCCAGTACGCCTCACGGAGTGAGTCGAGATCCTCCAGCGAGTCGCACAGACTACGAGCGCGCTCCTGCTCCGCCGGGTCGCCGCCCTCGTCGAGCACGTCGACTAGCAGCGACATGGCGGCGACACGGCCGGCCCCGCTCGCTGCATCGCCGGCAAGCAGCCCCTCGCAGAGCAACCGCACGCGCGGGACGGCGCTGTAGCCCAGCGGCTCGACCACCCCGCGCAGGTAGTTCCATGGAGAGGGGTTCCCCGGCGCAGCAGCGATGAAGCGGGCGGCGAAGTCGACCTCGCCCTCGGCGACAGACAGCGAAGAGAGATCGGCGGTGTGCTGCAGCAAAAAGTAGCGCTGGTTCCACGCCGAGTTGTTGCGGGCGTCCTCCTCAAGCAGCCCCTCCACAAATGCGGCCTCGCCCTCCCATCCGCCGCATGAGCTGAGTACCCACTGGCGATGCCCCCAGGCGTGGTAGTTCTTGCTGTCATCCCTCAGGATCTCCGCCACGAATTCCAGCTCAGCCTCGGGGCCGCTGCCAAGCCTGGCGAGGCAGGAGCGGCGGTGGAACCACACCTGGTAGTTCTTCAAGTTCTCGCGCCCACGCGCCGTGCAAAAGGCGAGCTCCTCGCGCCATGCCTGCTCCCGCGCGGCGTTGGACGACCCCGAGTGCATTGCCTCAAGGCAGCGGCGTCGGTACTGCCACGCGGTGTAGTTGGCGGCGTTGTGCGCAATCACCTCTGCCGAGAGCTGCAAGGTCCTCTGCGAGCACTCCCCCGTGACAACCACGCGCCGAAAGTAGCTCATGACCTCCTCAAAGCCGTCCGGGTAGGCGATCCGCACGACAGGCACGGGGCCGTCGTCCTGCGGGAGCGGCTCGAGGTCGGAGAAGGTGGCGTCGAGCATATAGCTCGTATGACACACGCACGTGTTGAAGAGGACCTGGCCTGAGCGGCACCGTGGCCTGGACGTCGGAAGCGTCCGACGGCCGCGCAGCGGTCTCGGACCTATGCGGGGGGCGAGTAGAGGCACTCGCGGCGCTACTCTCGAGGTCTCTTGGATGCGCATCGCAGCAGTCGCAGGAGAAGCAGCAGGCCTCAGCAACCGCCGTGATCAAGGCCGTCATCGAGGTTTTGCGCGACGCCGGCGATGTGAGCGATCCCCCGGTTCCCCACCGCCCCAATTTCACCCGCACTTGTTCACCGTTCGCCTGAATAGAGCTCTTCCTTTGTCCTTTCCTGGCCTCAGGCATCCCCAAGGGAGCCTCTGCGGTGCCACATAAGCAGCTTAGTGATGGTCGAGACTTTAAAGTATTCGTTGGAAGAAACGCAAACAAGACAGACGGTACTATGGTCTATGGTCACCAGTAAACCATAATTCGACTTTGAGGGATCATATCTCAAAAAGCCGGGAGATAGCATAGCCTTATTGTTGCATATTATGCCACATAATTAAGGTCAAACTTGACCCCACAAGCATCAAGAACCCGATGCTCCGGCTCGACTGTGCCGGCACACTGCCTCCTCGCGCCGGCTGCTAGCAGGCCGTCGCGGCCCGTGGTGCACCAGAGAGAGAGGTCGACGCGTTGCCCCCGCCGGCGACCCCGCGCGGCTCAGGCCGGCCAGAAGGTGTGTGGTGGCGGCACCATGGCAGGAGTGCGGAGAAGAGCTCGCCGAACGCGAGCAGCAGATGGCCAAAGTGTACCAGCGCGAGAGCCTCGGCCCTCGCAAGCGGGCGCAGAAGAAGCTCGCCGTGACACGATGCCGGGCGGTGTCTGCCCGCCCAATGCGCAATGGGTGGCAGGTGCCTCTGGCTGTGGGATTCTGCTGTGGTATGCCTCACGGCTGCGACTGGCCGGCGCCTCGGCGCGTCAGCTCGGCTTGGCGCAGCGATCGTGGCCAGCGCAACTCGCCTGGACTCAACGCTCAGCCAGGAGCTCCCGCACGCGCCTTTGCGAGTCATGGCGCATGCAACGCGCAGCAATGCTCGCTCGCCTCGCCTCGCGCAAATGCGACCGTCCTCGCAGCCGACAGTCCACCGCCTGCTAAAGAAGCACAGCGACAATGCGGCAGCGGCGACGCATGGCAGGCTGGTCATGTCTCATGAGCTCATGACGCAGTTATAGGGTGTTGGTTGGTGTGCCGTCAGAGTGGCTCTGTGTGTCAGGGATAGTCAGGGCCGTCCACCAGAGCTCCAGTAAGCTCGGAGACACCCTATTAGTGCGACTCGACCTCTTTGAGTCACTGCCCCGGCGCCCACAAGCAAATTTGCATGCACTTGTACATGTACATGTGTGAACCTTGAACAAGCAAGTCCGAGCCGGTTCTTTCTTGCCCCGGTGTTGGAATGCACGACGGCACGGCGGCGGCCGACTCGCAATGATGCCTTCTCGGGGCGGCTCGCGGGCCCAGCGCGGATCGGTGGTGCACCCGGAGCGGTTGCGTCTCCCGGAGGTTCACCGGTCGAAGCCAGCGCACTCACAGCATGAGCGTCGTCGGCCCTCAAGTAGCAGCAGCAGCCGAAGCGACAGCAGCAGGAAACCGCGGCATCCTGGTCGGCGGCGAACGCGCTGTTCGTTCCTCTCGATCACCAGGTGCATCGCTGTGCTCGGCGTCGGCGGCCTCTTCCTTGTGCACCTGTTCGACCTAACACCAATGTGCGCATTTGCACCGCTCTCTAGTCGTGCATGGAGGCACGCGTGCGTGAACAGCGCGTACTCTCTCCTCCATGCAACTCGGCAGCGGTGTGCACGATTCCCACCACCCGACGCTCTGCTCAGGGTCATTGATGCGCAACGACGTCTGTCCAGCCATGCTCCCTCCGCTGGGCTGTCATCGCATGAGGCATACCTGGACGATGAGGAGTACGAGCGGGCTGCCCTCGACTCGCTGGCAGCCCAGGTGCCTCACCCGGCGCACCTCCACACTCTCCCCTTCGGCGGGCGCCAAATCTCGGCTCTCCCACACACACACACACACACACACACACACACATCGCACAGCCCTCGCATAATCCCAAGCCCTGCCGGAGCCAGCCTCTGGACCTGTCGCAGGATACCTCCCAGCTGGCGGAGCAGGCTGCGAGACATTGGGCGCAGGGGTGGCGCGACGACGGCGACAGCGGTCGTAGCGACGGCGGTGGCGGTGGCGGTGGTGAGCAGGAGGAGAGCGACGGCGGCGGCGAGGAGGAGCTGGCGAAGGAGGAGGGTGGGAGTGAGGTGTTGAAGGAGCGTGAAGCAGCGGACGAGTTGGCGACCGATGAAGCTGCAGACGGCGACGGCGGAGGCCAGGCGGATGCCCGCGGTGGCGGTGCCGCCATCGCCAATGGTGCCGCCAGTGGTGGCGCCGCATGGCGTAGCGGGGCGGAGGCGAGCGTCGTGGCTGCTGCCACTGGCCCCGGCAAAACTCGCTTCGGTGCTCGTCCCTCAGTCCCCATGCCCCATGTAGGTGCTTACTAGCGTCGCGCAGTGCAGGGCGGCGGCGGCGGCGGCGGCAGAGGCGGCGGCAGAGGCGGAGGCTGAGGCGGAGGCGGGTGGACGTGCTGCGGCGGAGGGTTTCACAGCGGGAGCGCCGTTGGACGTGACCATGATCACGCAGGCTTCGGCCGAGCGGCTGTGGATGCTCCCTTTCATCTGCGACCGATGGGCCGGGACGCTTGTCGTGGCTGCGCTCGCGGCGGCTGCCGACAGGCGACCGAAGCTCTCGCGACCGCACCCCTTCCGAGCTGAGGCGCCTCACCCGCGCCCCACCCGGTGATCGGCCAGGCGGAAATGGCCCCCCTTGACCATCGCGGGCGGCGACGAGCCCCGCTGCCGGGCTCTGCTTCTGGAGCTGCAGCCACCAGGGGGTGCGCCCCCCCCCCCCCCCCCCCCCCTTTCCCCCCCGGGGGCTGCCTCACTTCCTCACCTCCGCGGCTGCTCTGCTGCCAGTCGGCCTCCATTCCCCCAGCAACCGGGGCCCATCACCTGCCTGAGGCTGCTCCGCCCGCGCCCCTCGCTCCCCCTCCCCTCCCTCCTCGAGCCTTGCCCGCGGATAGCCGTCGCGCCGCCGTCGGCCGGCTTGCAGGTGGGGGCGTGGAGAAGAAGGGCTACCCCATCAACTGGCTGCGCAACCAAGCCATCGGTTGCGTCGCCACGTCCCACTATTTGATCGCCGACATCGACTTTTGGCCGTCGCGAGAGCTGCGCCGCCTGATCCGCATGCAGCTACCGGCGTGGGGCGAGGCGCAGCGGGCGCTCGTCGTGCCCAACTTTCAGCGCTCCGGCCACGGCTGCCGCGCCAGCGGTCCGAGCGCTTGCCGCGACGCCTTCGAGCGCGGTAGCCTCGGAGTACCCTCAAACTACTCTGAGCTCGCCACTTGCGCGAGGGCGCGGCAGTGTGCCGTGTTCGACTCGGAGTACAACGCCGCCGGCCAGGCAGAATCACACACCCGGGGGGAGCGGGGGGAGGGGGGGGAGGGGGGGGGGAGTAGGTCGCCCGACGCGTGCGTCTTCCGTGAGCGCAGGCGTCGACGGACATCCACGCGTGGCGCGGGCTTGCGGAGGGTAGCACGATGCCAATCAGCTGCTTTTCTTCGGCGCGGCTCGAAGCGCCCGCAGTTGTGCTGATGACGGCGGGTCGCCACTCCCTCGTTGTTAGCAGGTGCGGTACGAGCCCTTTGTGGTCTTGCGCAACCACGCGGCCACGCCGCGGTTCGACGAGCGGTTCACCGGATATGGCAAGAACAAGGCGCAGCGCATCCCTCTCCCCGCCCCCTCTCTGTCGCGGCGGGCCGAGCGGCGCGCGGCGCCCCCTCGCAGGTGCAGCTGATCCTCCATTTGCGGATGGCGGGCTACGCATTCCACGTGCTCGGCCGTGGCTTCCTCTGCCACTTTCCCCACCCGCAGTCCTCGTCAAAGCAGGTGTGGCAACCCTCGACCCCGCCGCGGCCGCGGCAGGCCATACTCCTCGCCCCACACCCACCCCACACCGACCTCAGGCGTGGCTGCATTCATCTGCACATGCCGCGATGGACCGCCTTTTTCACACATTCGAGGCGGAGATGCGGAGCCGGTACTCGAACGCCACTCTGAGAACGCGGATGTGCCCCTGACTCCCCGCAGCTCCGCATGTCGCCCGGGCTCCGTGGCCGTTTCAGAGAGAGGGAGAGGGAGAGGGAGAGGGAGAGAGAGAGAGAGAGAGAGAGAGAGAGAGAGAGAGAGAGAGAGAGAGAGAGAGAGAGAGAGAGAGAGAGAGAGAGAGAGACCGACACACGTCAGAGCACAAGTGTATCACCATCAGACCAGAGACCTGCAGATACCTCGCACCCACGACCGCATCCACACCTCCAAATAGCGGGTTATTTTATTTTTTGACTAAAGGGTACAGTGGGTTGCGGGCATTAAGAAAACAGGATGTCGCGGCACGCCGCCGTTTCTAAGCCTTTCCACAGCCCTCATCCACCCCGCGCCGTGGTTTCTTAGCTCCGGCCGGCACTCCAAGCCAGCAGAGCCGGCGGGCCCGGGAAGGATTTTTAGGTAAGTAAGAGGTAAGCTGTAAGCTGCCGGTCCGCGAGGGCGATGCCAGAGTCTGCCGCTGAGTCGGCTCTCTGGATGACGGGGGAAGACGCACACACGCCTCCATCCACTCCACTCAGAACACCGCAGACATGGAAAGTGACAAGTGCGCGCGCCGCAGGCGAAGAGAAATTTTGAGCTGGGGCTCCCGTTCACACTCGTTTCTGGCCTTTTCTCGGGGCCGCGTCTGCGGCGCGCCGTGGTTTCTTAGATTTTTGCGGAAATCGCTCGGCGTGGTTTCTTAACACTACGTTTTCTTAATGCCCGCAACCCACTGTAGTCCACGGGAAGCCGCGCCCGCGGTGGTGAGGAATTGAAGAATTGCGAATTTTGTAGTCACTCCACGAGAGCACGCGACCAGGCGCGACACGCACACCATCTCGCTTCTCGGCACCCGGCACCCCGCGCGCGCGTCCACCACGCCGCGCGGAGCGGAGCCGACGCACCTCGCACGCCCCCCCGGCCCCGCGGCACGGCGCGGCGGAGATATTGTTGGCTGCCAGGCGTCGAACCGACAACCGTCTCAGGGAAACTCGAGAGTTGCCAGAATGGAGCTCAGCAAACACGATCTGGTTTCCATAGAAACTTCCGAAAACGCAAACGGTGCTGGGGACCACCCTCTGGTTTCCCTCTGGGTTGCCGCGAACAGGTGCGTCCTCGTCCTTGAGGATTTGAAGGGGAAGGGGAAGGGCTGTGTCCTGTGTGTCTGTGCATGCATGCATGCATGCATGCATGCATGCATGCATGCATGCATGTGTGTGTGTGTGTGTGTGTGTGTGTGTGTGTGTGTGTGTAAAGAAAGAAAGAAAACAGACAACCCAAGGGAGGGACGGGAGGACGGCACGCCGCCACCACACAGGGATTTCAAGGGGAGAAGTGTGGTGCTAGCCGTCGCCCACCCTCGGGCGTCTACCACTTCCTATCTCTCTTCCCCAATTCTCGCAGCGACCTTCATGCCACCTCGCGGTCGTCCCACTCTCGTCCTCGTTCTCTCTCCTGCTGTTTCATCCTCTGACTCATCGCTCTCCTCAGCCTCGTTCTGAAACGCCGCTGCCGTCTGCCGATCGGCCCCTCGAGTTTATCGAGCCCTCCTCGCGCAAGGACCACATTTCTGACTCCCACTCCGATCATTTGCCGCCAAGTCATGTCGTTGCTCAGGTCCACTCTCGTTTCGAGCACTTGTACCTCAACGGTCGGTGTTGGCACTGGGGTTCCCTTCGGGTATATCGTGACCGCTGACGGCGGGATTACCAATGGTGTTTCGTCCTCCTCGGAGTCGTCTTCCCCGGCTTCCTCTCGTTCGGCTCTACGTTCATTACGTTCATCGTGGCTCACCCTCCATGCCGTGAACAGGCGCCCTATCCATCCTATGTTCTTCTCTCGCTCCTCTGCCCGTGCCTTGGTCTTGTCGTTGTTTCGCACCCATGTCTGTATGGCAATCGAAGCTGCCTTCCCCACTACCTTTAGTTCACTCGTCACCTCTCCGGCGAGCTCCTCTCTCTTCCTTTCGGGCAGGGAGTCTGTCAGTGCTGGCAGCGTGCAGGCAATCACGGGCGCTATTTTGTCGTACCCCTCTTCGGCGAGCGCTCCAAATCTAGACCCCATTGCCTTTAAGGAGGCTGCCCTCGCGCGTCTGAAAGATGTCGCCGTGTCTTTTGATTCAGGCGCCTCCCGTTCGACTCTTGCTGTCGCCCTCGCCGCGTGTTTGTCAAGCTTCCGCATGAAGTAACGCGCGTCTTCCTTATTTCCAGCGCAGCTGCCACTCAGCACGTGCGCCAACGACGCCTGTGGCGGCTCACTGTCTTCTTGTGTCCAGTCGTCCCAGTCTCTCCGTTTGTCTCCGTTTCTCCTCCTTGCCTCGCGCGCCTCTTTTGCGGCCTCATCCCTAGCTGCTTTGCACGCTCTGCATCCCCAGAACGCACTTCTCGTGGCGGGGCCCCTCATTCCCCGTTTCTTTCCCCCCTCTAGAATACGCCTGTGGTGTGCACCGTGTGGCACCCCGACCTGTTGTCTCACCCTGGCTCCCAAGATCGTTTTGGTCGTCACGTTGTGACCCCCGACGTCGTCAAATGTCGCTCTCGGCCCCTCGAGTTTATCGAGCCCTCCTCGCGCAAGGACCACATTTCTGACTCCCACTCCGATCATTTGCCGCCAAGTCATGTCGTTGCTCAGGTCCACTCTCGTTTCGAGCACTTGTACCTCAACGGTCGGTGTTGGCACTGGGGTTCCCTTCGGGTATATCGTGACCGCTGACGGCGGGATTACCAATGGTGTTTCGTCCTCCTCGGAGTCGTCTTCCCCGGCTTCCTCTCGTTCGGCTCTACGTTCATTACGTTCATCGTGGCTCACCCTCCCTGCCGTGAATGAACAGGCGCCCTATCCATCCTATGTTCTTCTCTCGCTCCTCTGCCCGTGCCTTGGTCTTGTCGTTGTTTCGCACCCATGTCTGTATGGCAATCGAAGCTGCCTTCCCCACTACCTTTAGTTCACTCGTCACCTCTCCGGCGAGCTCCTCTCTCTTCCTTTCGGGCAGGGAGTCTGTCAGTGCTGGCAGCGTGCAGGCAATCACGGGCGCTATTTTGTCGTACCCCTCTTCGGCGAGCGCTCCAAATCTAGACCCCATTGCCTTTAAGGAGGCTGCCCTCGCGCGTCTGAAAGATGTCGCCGTGTCTTTTGATTCAGGCGCCTCCCGTTCGACTCTTGCTGTCGCCCTCGCCGCGTGTTTGTCAAGCTTCCGCATGAAGTAACGCGCGTCTTCCTTATTTCCAGCGCAGCTGCCACTCAGCACGTGCGCCAACGACGCCTGTGGCGGCTCACTGTCTTCTTGTGTCCAGTCGTCCCAGTCTCTCCGTTTGTCTCCGTTTCTCCTCCTTGCCTCGCGCGCCTCTTTTGCGGCCTCATCCCTAGCTGCTTTGCACGCTCTGCATCCCCAGAACGCACTTCTCGTGGCGGGGCCCCTCATTCCCCGTTTCTTTCCCCCCTCTAGAATACGCCTGTGGTGTGCACCGTGTGGCACCCCGACCTGTTGTCTCACCCTGGCTCCCAAGATCGTTTTGGTCGTCACGTTGTGACCCCCGACGTCGTCAAATGTCGCTCGCCTGTCCTTCCCCCCATTCTTGTCTGGGAATCTCATCTTATTGTCCCATGGGTGTTTGAGGCTGGCTACGGCCACACTTCGCTCCACAGCCGTCCCGCCATCCCTGCCGTGTGCGATCCCGGCCTCACCGTCTTTCGAAGTTGTTCGCACACCCACTCGTGTGCGCTCTGGCGCATGTGCCCGTATGTCCGTCGGTCCACTATCTCCCTCTTCCCCGGGTCCTCTGCCGCCTCCCTTCTCACTGTGTACATGCATGGCCGCGTTCGCACCGCGTCCCGAACCACCTTCGAGGCGTCCTCCGTGTCGTCCTTTCCGAGGCAAGTATGCTGTCGCCACTGGCACTGCGTCGGCGTATGCGTTGCAGGCTATTCCCACGTGCGATGGCACCCACACGAAGACCACCGCCTCTAGCTGCGATCTATAGTAAGCAATCGCCTCTAGGAGACCGCCTCTCTCCCAGTCCCTCAGACCTTCTGGCATCCCTTTGCGGTGCGCATTCTCAATCTGCTTGCTGCAGCGCGGGTTTGCAGTCGCATAGTACTAAGCACCGTCGCGTCTGTGCGTCGCTCGCGCTCGCCATTTTGCGTAGGTATGCGAGTATCGCGTACATCTCCGCGTCTATCACCTCCCACATGTTCGGCAGCTTTCCTCCCCACATGCCCGCCCCAAAGGCTGTCCGTATCTCCTGTTCGTCACAGGGCCCGATTCCGTGGGGATCCTTTACCTGTGCGTCTCCCGGGACGCGCCTCCCAAATCGCGTCGGTCCTTCGAAGACTACGCCGTACGCGTGTGTGTGTCGCGTGTGAATTCTTCGTGTGCTGATGTGCGAAGGCCTTCGCTCGCTGGAATCTGAGCTCTTAGACACCAGGATCACCAGGAGCGCGACGAGGGCCCTGCGCACACCCATCCCTCCCCATCCCTCCCCTCAGGGTCCCTCCCTCTCTCTGCCGAGAGGGGCGGCCCTCGCCGCTCGCCCCCTCCCGCCATCGCGCGTTCCTCGCGTGCGGCGCTCAGCCGCCCCCCGCGCCTGGCGCCCTCTGCACACACGCTCCCCCTCTGGCTGCGCGCCGCGCGACCAACGGCGCCGGCTGGTGTCGCAGGCATGCTGTCCTTCCTTCTCACCACCGCGGCCGCGGTCACCGCCTTTAACGCGCCCGTCGCGGCGCCGAGCAGCAGCTTCGCGCAGCCGCGTGTCGCAGCCTCGCCTGTGATGGGTGCCACCATCCGCGAGCTGCGCGACCGCGTGGGCTCGGTCAAAAACACGAAGAAAATCACGTCTGCTATGCGCCTCGTCGCCGCCGCCAAGGTGCGCCGCGCGCAGGAGGCTTGCCTGCGCTCGCGCCCCTTCTCGGAGACGCTGGAGCGCATCCTCGGCGGCCTCCTCCAGCGCCTCTCAACCGAGGCGCTGGACATCCCGCTGCTGCAGCAGCGCGAGGCGAAAAAGGTGGGCCTGTTGGTCATCACCGGGGACCGCGGCCTGTGCGGCTCCTACAATTCTGCCGCCATCAAGAAGACCGAGGGCCGCATCGCTGAGCTGAAGGCGCAGGGCGTTGAGGCCGAGCTCATCACTGTGGGCAACAAGGGCTCGACCTACTTCAAGCGCCGCTCGGACCCGTCCTCGCCCCAGTACGCCGCGCCGCTGCGCAAGGCAGTGCCGTGCGGCCAGGCCCCGACCGCCGAGATGGCGACGGAGCTCGCCTCCGAGCTGCTCTCCTCGTACTATGCCGGCGAGCTCGACCGCGTCGAGCTCATCTACACCTCCTTCGTCTCTATGATCTCCTCCATCCCGTCGGTCCGCACGATGATCCCGCTCACGCCGCAGGGCATCGAGACCGAGGGCGACGAGATCTTCAAGATGACCACCAAGGATGGCGATTTCGCCATCGAGAAGGAGAAGGTGGACAAGGCGGAGCCGCAGCAGTTTGCCGCCGACATGATCTTCGAGCAGGAGCCGTCGCAGCTGCTCAACGCCATCCTGCCGCTCTACCTCAACGGCCAGATCCTGCGCACGCTGCAGGAGTCGGTCGCGTCGGAGCTCGCGTCGCGCATGACCGCGATGCAGTCGGCTACGGACAACGCCAAGGAGCTGCAAAAGACGCTCGAGCTCCAGATGAACCGCGCGCGCCAGGCCAAGATCACCCAGGAGCTGATGGAGATCATCGCGGGCGCGGACTCGGTTTAGAGGGCTGTGGGAGCAAAAGGGGGGATGGGGGGCGTGGCGAGGTCGCTTGCCAGTCGTAGCTCTGGGAGCGACTGACGATTCTCACATTGAACTCGAGCGAACTGTCGATGCTGCGAGCCGCCCGCCGCGCGCGTGATCTGGGGGGCGGGGGGGGGTGTGCACGGGATGGGGGTTGGGGAGAGAGTCGTCGCGGCGGAGGGGCGGCAGGACACTTTCGCGCGAAAAATACGTTCGTCCCGTTGAATATTGCAACCGAGTGCGGGGATCACCCCGAACAAGCCAACCAACAAATTCTCTGGCCTCAGCTGAGAAGGTGAGAAGGATAGGGTCGACGGGTGATGGGAGCGAGACCGAACGGCCGGGCATGCTCCTGCACGCCCGGGCAACTAGGTCATGGACCTCCCCCCTCCCCGAGTGTGTCGTGGAGATGGTAACTTGTTCATAATGCTGCTTGTACAACCACGACCGACGCGAGGACGCAAGTCCACCAACCTCGGCCATTCCAACGGCCAGACCGCTCGCTTAAGGCTGATTGGCTAGACGAGCGGTCTCCCTCCATGGGGCTGTTGGCGCAGGGGGAGGTGTCAATCACGCTCCCGGGACGCCGGAGAGATCGGGTTGGTCTCCCCCGCCTTCAGCCCTGACCCGACGGGGACGCCACCACCCTCGCCCAGGGATCTACAATGCTGTCTTAAGGTCCGACAGGTTCGGCACCGGGCACCGCCTCGGTATACAAAATGCGCCTGCGGGCGGACCCTTACAGATCACAGATCACCCCGCCACACGGCTAGAGCCGGAATCCAGCGCAGCGTTGAGGGCGTGTGGAGCCTTCCGCTTTGGCGCATTGTCGCTCCTCCGGCCGCCTTCACTCCCACAAAATTCGCGCCCCACACATGGCCGCGGTCTTTTTGGCCGCCGCCGTTCTGCCGAGCGTCCAGCGCGCGGCCCGGCGCGCTTCCACCGCAAGACTGCTCGCATTCACCTCAGACATGAAGCCTCAGCACTTGAACTCGCCAAACAATCCGCGGCTGAAGCTGGCCAAGCGCCTTCATGCACGGCGGCAGCGAGAGAAGACGGGCCTGATCCTGCTGGAGGGCCAGCGCCTTATCGCCGACGCTCTGGACGCTGGGCTGAGCGCTGACTTCGTGCTCGTGAGCGACGAGCAGCTGCGCGACGGGGCGCTGGACCGGCTGCTCGCCCGCGTCCCAGCCGAGATCGCTGCCTCTACCACCGCGCCTCTCTTCCGCGACGTGTCTGACACCACAACTCCGGCGGGTGTCCTTGCCCTCTTCCAGAAGCCGATCCTCACGCTCCCACCATCCCCGAGCCTTGTGCTCGTGTGCGACAGCATTAGCGATCCCGGAAATCTTGGCACGCTCCTGCGTGCGTCAGCTGCGGCTGGCGTCGACGGCTGCTTGCTCATGGCCGGCTGCGCTGACCCCTGGGGCCCAAAGGCGCTGCGCGCCGGCATGGGCGCGCAGTTTCGGGTCCCCATGATGCAGGTTCCATTGCCTCCGCCTGAACCGTTTGAGACCATGGGAGATGCCTAACTCTTGGCGCCGTGGTGCAGGTGGACTCGTGGGCCGGTGCAGCCGCGTCACTCGTTGAGTGGGGGTGTGCGATTCGTGCGGCGGACGCGGGCGGCACATCGGCGCACTACGACTGCGACTGGCGCGACGCGAGCGCGCTCGTGGTGGGGTCCGAAGCGCACGGCATCTCGAGGGAGGTGCTCGCCGACCCGCGCGTGCACAGCTGCTCGATCCCAATGGCAGCTGCTCGAGGCTTGGGGACGCGGCGAGGCCGCTTTGTGCGCAAGAATTTCCTGTGTGACTGCATGTAGGCTGGCGACCTCGAGAGCCTGAACGCGGCGGTCGCCGGCGCGATCGTGCTGCACGAAGCGCAACGGCAGCGGATGACCGGGGCGGTGCCTCGATGACGTGTAGCGCCAAAGCGTGAGTGAGGCAGGTGTGGTCTGTGGAGGATCGCCCCAGCGCGCGGGGGGGTGGGGGGGGGGGCTGATCCTTTATTAGTCGGGTAAAATATAGTGATTAGACGAGTTTAGAGTGATTTTCGAGATTCGACGTCACGTCTGTCGTCTCACTCTCACCACTCACGTCTCGCAGCACTCAGGTCTCACGAATCGTCATTTCAATGATTCGGATCGTCGCCCGTCCCGGCGTCCGCCGGGGGCGCGGGGGGGGCATGGGCCGCGGGTTACGGTTAGCCGCCCCGGCCCGGGCGCCATGGCCCATGCGCATGCCGCGGGCCGGCGGCGTCGCGGTGAGTTTGCCTGCTGCGAGCGACCCGTCGCTGTTCTTCACACAAACAGAAATGCAAAAGATTCACAAACCACGCGCTCCCGCCGTTTATCGCGCGCCGCACGCGTCTCGGAGGGGGCCGTCGACAGAAGGGACCCCCCCCCCCCCGCAGCATCGGGCCGCGCGTGATGCCTCTGCAAAGGTTGCGGGCGCTGTCCCCGCCCCAAGCGTGGCCTCCTCCTCCTCCTCCTCCTACCCCGGGGCGCCCCTCTAGTAGTAGCCGCCATCGGTCTTGCCCTGCGCATCGAGGACGCCGCGCCAGTATCCAGACTCGAACTGAGCCTTGGCGTTGACGTTGACGTTGGCCTCGATCTTGTTGCCGGACTTGCGGCAAGGGACTGCCCGCGCGGGGGGGGGGGGGGGGGGCGAATTTCAATGGTTGGGTGGGGGGCAAGGCAAATGTGGTGGCAGGGAAAAACGGCGGTGGTGGGGCGGTGGTGGGCCCCCACAAACGGTGAGCGGCGAAGGCGACGAGAGCGCGTTGAAGATGATGGGGCCGATGAGCGGCGGTGCCGGGCACCACGCGCCGATTGGCTTGCCCGTCTCTGCGCACGGCAGAAGGGTGGGGTCGTGAGGGTGGACGGACGCCGAGCGGTGCGGGGCCCACGAGGAAGGGGGGCATCGCACTCAGGTCCCAGGTGGAGAGAGTGACCGGGTCGGTGATGGTGCCAGCCCCGATGGTGCCGAAGGTCGCGGGCTGGCCAAAGGGCGGCAGCTTGTTGGCGATCGCGTACTGCTTGCCGGTCGTGTCGGTGACGACGGCAATCTCGAGGCCGTACTGGAAACCCTGTGCAGAGAGGGGGAGCAACTCGAGCAGGCGGGTCGGACGGGGGGAGGGGTGCATTGGGGGAGCCGCCCGCGAGCGCGGTGCAGCCGTGGGGCTCACCGCGACAGCAGTCCCCTTCTGCGCCTCTGAGGCGGACACGAAGGGCACCCACTTCATTTTCGTCGGAATGTTTGCGGGCTTGTCACCCATCGCGACTGAAACAGCGGCGAGGGAGCATGAGGGGGCGAACGGCGGCGGCGGCGGCGGCGGCGGAGGAGGGGGGCGCGAAGGGATGCCCGGGCGCCGGTGAGCGCGGCTGCGCGGGTAGCCCCGCATGACCGAGCAGCCGGCGCCCGAGATGTGAGGACGCTTTCAGGGACCATTGCGCGGGGCCGCGACGGACCTGCGGCCCGGCTCGTAATCGTCGGCGCGCTGCCGATGCTGAGCGCATCGGCCGAGCAGAGGGCTGCGAGCAAGAGGGTCGAGGTGCGCGACATGGCGATCTCGAAGCACCAAGGGCTTTATTACACAAAAGAATTTTCCCCGCGCGGCCGGGGTGTGCCCACGTGCCGTTTTCCCATCCCTCCCTGGGGTGGTGTGTTTTCTTTTGGCTTTTTCCGCGGGCAGCACGGTTTGAAGTTGTTACGATTCCCGGAAGAGCCCCCCCCCCCCCCCCCTCGCACACACCACCTCCTCCCCCCACACACCCTGCCCGGCCCTGCCGGCACGGCGCGCATGCCATCAGCTGTCTCCTGCGGGAGAGGGACGGGCGCACCTCAGCGCGTTGGGCTTGCCCATCCCGGAGTGGTTCGACTCCACATAAATCCGAGACGGTGACGGGAAGCGTCTCAGCGGTCTCAGGCCCAGTGAGGTAGTGCGCGGGCTACCCGGATCCTGCTGAACAAGTTCCTCTTGTAGCTCGATCGGTCACACCGCCATCGCCGTCGGGGAGAGGGGGGACGACACTGCTTCTGCAGCGTGCACCTCGATCCTGCACCGTGTTTGTTATGACCCCCCCCAATGAACATACCAGTGAGGGAGGGCGAGACGATCGAGGGGTCCCGTACCACGCGGAATCGGCCCTATCCAGTGCTCAAGTGCTCAAGACTTCATCTTGACATGCAGGCTGACCATCGAATGCAGGCTGACCATCGACGCTCGTGAGCACTGTGGAAAGGAGACGTCAAACAGCGCCCGCGCGTGCCAGCGGAAGAGCAGCAGCGGTGCGAGGCAGGTGCCGCGAGCGTGGAGCGACGGCAAGCGTGCAGCGAGCAGGCGGCGGTTTACTGCGGAGCGAAACAGCCAAAGAAAAAAGAAAGAAAACAGACAACCCAAGGGAGGGATGGGGGGACGGCACGCCGCCACCACACAGGGATTTTAAGGAGAGGTGTGTGGTGCGCTATCCGTCGCCCACCCTAGGGAGTCTGCCTCTTCCTATCTCTCTTCGCAGTCTCTCGCCGATTCTCGCTGCAACCTTCATGCCACCTCGCGGTCGTCCCACCCTCGTCGTTCTCTCCCTTGTCACTTCCTCCTCTGTCGCGTCGTTCTCTTCTGCCTCGTCCTGCGACGCCGCCGCCTGCCGGTCCCTTGTTCTCGCGGCTTCTTTCGCCTTTCGGCGCAACTCCGTCCTCCTCGCGGCGTATCCTGGCCCCTCGAGTCTATCGAGCTCCCCTCGCGCAAGGACCACATTTCTGACTCCCACTCCGATCATTTGCCTACAGGTCATGTTGTTGCTCAGGTCCACTCTCTCTTCGAACACTCGAGTCTCCGTCGCAGCGGATTTCGACCTCCGTCGTGTCGCGTGCGTTCGCTTCCCTCCTACGCGTCGGCTGGTCCCTGGTTCGAGAACCTGGGGGGGAGGGGGGGGCCTCCTCGGCCTCCTCGGCAGCCTCGACAGCCTCGACAGCCTCGACAGCCTCGACAGCCTCGACTGCTTGACGCACGCGACTCGCGCGGCACCCGTCGTTTTGCTCGCCGGGCGGCCCCCACGCCGCCCCGTCTCGCTCTTCCTCGCGTGCTCGGGCCTCGGCGGGCAGCGCCTCGGCTGGTGCTCTCCTTCTCGCTGGATGTGCTGCTGTTTTGCGCTCATTGTGTGGCTGCGCGGTTCGTTGCTCCCGGGGACCAGAGACCGGTGGTGACCCACCGGTTCGGTACGACCCGCAGCCTACTCCTACTACCGCGCGCGCGCACGCGCGGGCCGCCGCGGGCACGGGCGGGGCGAGCGAGCGCACCATTGTCTCGGTTGGTCGTACGGCGCCTACCAGGCCTCAGAGAAAACGGGTTTTGCTTCATTCAGTTTCTTTTCTCGTAAAAATTCTTCTCTGCTCCCGCCGGAGGGTGATAAATATTAGATATCGGCGGGGCCGCCCGGCCGTTAATGTTGGGGCCCGCGCTGACATACATGCTGCGTGTAGAGGTGCGGTCCCTTAGATATACACAGCGCCGCTCCCCGCCCTCCCTCCCTTGCACAAGGCCCGGCGAATCCAGATGGGTATCTACACCTCAGGATTCAAACGGTCTTGCGCAATGGGCGGGCCGGCCCGGGGAGCGGGCGTCCCGGGCTGCGCGCCAGACGGGGTCCTGATTGCCCACGTGCACGGTACGCATGTATTGTGTGACTGCTGGATGCCCTCTTACCCGGCTGACTCTGGTCGGATCGCGACGTCCACCGCAGCCCATTGCACCGGCCCGCGTCAAACCCTCCCGAGAGCCGAGTTTGAGCCATCTGCCCCGCTCTTCAGGTTTGTGCATCGTCGGCGGGCTCCACCGTCGACCGACGCGGCCTGCCCCAGCATCGACCAGCGTGACGTGACGCGTGACCTGCTCCATCCTCGCTCATCGTCCGCTCTGTCAGATCGAGACCATACGCGCGTGCGCGCCGCGGCTGCTCTGCTCGCTCTCCTCCACCTTTCTCCAAGCGCTCGGTCCGCATGTGCATCTGCGTGGCCCCACCCTGGGCGTGGCAAGGGGCCGCTCCGATGGGCTCGGGTAGCCCTCAGTGTCTCTGGCTGCCTGCCCCCTGGCCGGTTTGGCCTCTTGCCTCTGTGGGGTGGGGTGCGAGGGGCAGGAAGAACAACAGGCGCGCCGGGCAAGTGATGGACACCCCCCACGCTGCGTTGCCTAGTGCGCGTGGTGTGGACGGACCTGGCGGGCCTCACCTGGGTCATCGCACGGCTAGGAGAAAGAAAGAAAGCGAAAACACACGGACTCGCCATGCAAGTCCTGGACTTCAAGTCGCGGGGCTCCCCAAGAGGGGAGTCCGGGGAGACAACCCCGCAAGAGCCAAGAGGGAGGGATCTAGGGAGGGATGGGAGGATCAGGATGGCACGCCGCCAGACCACACAGGGATTTGAATCGCATGGCTTTTGCATCGCCGGAGTGCCTGTGCGCTGTGTGTGGTGTTTTAACTTTTACATTTATTGTCGGTTACGGTTTGGTCTTTGGACCATAAAATGATGACACACGCGCATGAACGCCGTGCTTCTCTGACTCACAAACACACGTACGCCTGAGGACTGTACCGTCTACCGAGAAAGAAGCGTACACCTCAGACGACCAGGATCCGTCCCCGCTCCCGCCGCACGGCAACAAGGCTCCATATCTGTAGCAACCCGTGTGCATCCTCTCATCCTCGATGGCGCGTCATCGCCGCATCTCTCGCAGTCTCACATTGCGACACGCGCATCATCTCGCTGTGTGCGTACGAACTGCACTAGGCCTAGTACGTCGGACTGCGCTGTACGGCTCTAAGCTCTCCCCACTACGTAATGCTAATGGTGTGGAGGTTGCAAGGGTTGGGCTGGCCCAGGCTGAATCTTAATCGTGAGCTCCGCCATCAGCGCCGCCATCACCCTGTCCCTCGCCGGCGCCGGGGCCGGCACCGCTGCCGCCGCTGCTCCTCGATAAGGGGCGCCGCGCCGCTGCTTCAGCATGGAGAGAAGTAGGCGTCCACGCTGCCGGGGAGGACTCCGGCCACATGAAGTTGGGACCCAGCGTTCTGCGCGCCTTCTCGAGCCCCGTCTCCACAAAATGCCCGTAGTCATTGTTTCGATTGACCCCGCCCAACTCGAGGAGATTCGAACGGTCAGGAAACGCGTGCTCACTGGTGCTCGCCTTGCTGAGGTCGGAGCTGAGGCGGGACGGGGGCGGAAAGGGAGTGCCAAACGTGAGAAGCCGGCAGGCGGGGGGTTCACACACTGTGCGCGAGCGAGCGCCGCGCCTGCCGGCCTCCGACTGCGCGGCCGGTCCGGCCGCCGACTTGATGTTGAGCATAGCCAGCGGGTGCTGCAGCTGCCCCACGCAGCCGGCGGTCTCGCTGCGGAGGGGAGGGGGGGGGGGGGGAGGCAAGCCGAGCCGGCAGGGGATGGTGACGGGAGGACGGAAGGACCGGAGGACCGGAGGGGGTGCGGCGGAA